GCACACCGTACAGTGTGCGTCACAGTGTACATGTTGCATTGTTGTGCTGAGGGATTTGGGGGAGCGGCATGTCATTGGTCGACGGCCACCTGGATGGGGCCGGGGGCTCGTACAAAAAAGAACAAAGACAATGGGGAGGAGGGACAGTGAGGAGGTGGAGAGGAGAGCCAGTGAGGCGCAGGAGGAGGAGGAGGAGGAGGAGGAGGAGAAGGAGGAGGAGGAGGAGGAGGAGAACGTGGGAACGGGAAAGGAGAGGACGAGGAGGAGCATGGAGGACGAAGAAGCGGGGGGTGGCGGAGGAGCATGCAGAACGAATCGGGACGAGGACGACGAGGAGGACGAGGAAGTGGCTGGCGGGGGGGGCGGCATAGAGCGTGGAGGAGGAGGAAGGGGAGTGAGCAGCGATGAGCACGGAGCCGGGGGGCAGGAGGCGCAGCAGGAGGGTGGCGGGAAGCAGAGGGAGCACAGCCAGGAGGAGGGCGGCGGGGAGGAGGAGGGCGGAGAAGAGGCTTCGAGGAGGAGGAGGAGGAGGAGGAGGAGGGGAAGAAAAAAGCTAGGGCCTGGGGCGAGGGCGAGGAGGAGCAGGGAGAGGGGCGAGGAGGATGGAGGTCCGCAGCCGTCTTGCGCCGAGCAGCGGAGGGGGGGGAGGCATGCGCCGCCTGGCCTCGCTTCCCCGCGGCGCCGCGCGCCACCCGCCGCTCGTGGTCGGGGCCACGCTGGGCCCCTGAAGGTCCCGCCACGCCGCGGGACAAAGAGGAGGCTCGAGGCTCGAGGTTCGAGGGGGGGCAAGAGGGGAGGAGGAGGAGGAGGAGGAGGAGGAGGAGGAGGAGGAGGAGCAGGAGCAGGAGCAGGAGCAGGAGGAGGAGGAGGAGGAGGAGGAGCAGGAGGAGCAGGAGGGGGAGCAGGAGGAGGACGGGGGAAGCAGGAGGAGGACGGAGGACAAAGGCCGCCAGCTTCAAGGCTTGAAGGCTTCAAGGAGGAGGAGGAGGAGGAGGAGGAGGAGGAGGAGGAGGAGGAGGGGAGAGAGGGAGAAGGAGAATAATAATGCAAAACAAAGCGCTTCGGGGATGGGTTCCAAACTGCAGCAGCGGCGACTACAGCTAGATGAAACTCTGCATCCCTGCGGGAGGATATATTGATGATGATGGCGACGATGATTATGATGCTGATGATGATGATGATGATGATGATGATGAGGAGGATGATGATGATGATGATGATGATGATGAGGATGATGAGGATGATGAGGATGATGAGGATGAGGATGAGGATGAGGATGAGGATGAGGATGATGATGATGATGAGGAGGAGGAGGAGGCGGAGGATGATGATGAGAATGATGCTGCTGATGATGATGATGATGATGATGATGCTGATGCTGATGCTCATGATGCTGATGATGCTAATGATGATGACGACGACGACGACGATGATGATGATGATGATGATGATGATGATGATGATGATGATGGTGGTGGTGAGGAGGAGGATGAGGAGGAGGATGAGGGTCAAGGCTCGAGCATGACGAGTCGAAGTTGTTTGAAATTCTAGACGCTTCGCGTAACCCCACCCCTTGCGCCGTCGTTGCCAATTATCTCGCCCTGTGCCCCAGCCGAGACCGTCCCGCTTCCTGGATCTGTCTTTGTGAGCCGCCAATCAAAAAAAGTAACCCCACCCCTGCCGCTTCGCTCTAGGCTCGTGCGTAGCCAATTTGGCAGGCCCGTGGCCCGGACCTCTCCTTCGGCGACAGTGTTTCCGCGTTCGCCCGCGACCAAAAAAGTAACCCCACCCCTGGTGCCCCAGCTCAGCTTCAGCCAGCTGCCCACCCGGCGGTAGGTTCTGATCGCGCGCTCGGTATCGCGCTTTGCTTGCTTGTCGCTGTATAATTAGGCTCGCGCGTAGCCCGCCCGACCTCTTCGGACGCCGCCTGCGCTTCCGCTTGCGGCCGCGACCAAAGAAAAGTAACCCCACCAGCCTTAGTGTCCTCTTCCACGCTTGCCAGCTGTTGTTTAGGCACTCGCCCTGCACGTAGGCCTGGCTTCATTTGACTGTCGACGCCGCGCGGCTGTCCGCTAGCGGTCGGTAAACAGAAGAAAAGTAACCCCACCAGCCCATCCAGAAACGATGCCCAGAGGGGTTGCCTCGATCAGGGAAGTGGGCAACACACAGAGGAAGGGTCCCCCAGTGGAGGCCTCTTGGAGCGTCTTGGGGGCCTCTTGGCGGTCCCGGGCGCCTCTTAGAGCGTCTTTGGTGCCTCGGAGAGTTTCTTGGGGCCTCTTGGGGGTCTGTTGGGAGCCTCTTGGGGACCTCTTGGGCGCCTGCTGGGGCCTCCAGGGCGCTCTTGGGCGCTCTTGGAGCCGTCTTGGGGCTCTCTCGAGCCGCTCTCGGAGCCCTCTTGGGCCATCTTGGAGCCATCTTGAGGCCTCGGATGGCCATCGGAAGCACAAAGGCGAAAAAGCCAACAACAACAAAAATAGTCCTGAGGTGTTGGAAGGATTTGGGACTCTTCGGGGTCTTTTCGGGGAGCTCTATGGCCACTTGGAGACGTATTGGAGCGATAAAGGGGCCTCTTGGAGCATTGTGGGAACCATCTTGAGGCATCTTGGGATATCTTGAGCTATCTTGGAGGTCATATTGGGCTCTCCCAGACGCTCTTGGAATCATCTTCATCAGCGCCCCCCACCCGGGAGGCCAAAATGTGGCCAACATCTTTGTAAAATCATTGGTTTCAGCATTCTCGCCGAGGCCTCTTGGAGCGTTTTGGGTGCCTCTAGGGGGCCTCTGGGGGCCTCTTGGGGGTATCTTGGGAGCTTTTCGGGGGCATCCTGGGGGCCTCTTGGGGGCATCTCGGGGCCTGGGGATGAGCCTGCTCCAGCCTGCCTTTTGACCTGGCCGTGGAGGGCGGGAGCCTGCTTCAGACTGCCTCCCAAACATGGCCGCGCGTGTCTCTCGATTTGGCTCCCGGGGGGGGGGTAGCATTATTACCAGTTTCTGCCTTTAGAAATTGCGTTGTTGGCCGTGTATGTCTCTTGATCTGGCTCCCGGGGGGGGGGGCCTTCCTCCGCTTGTCTGGTGGTATGGCGATGTGTGGGGGGGATTTAGCAGCATTACCAGCTTCTGCCTCCAGAAATTGCGTTGTTGGGGCTGGCTTCCCCCGGGCTGCGTACTGGTTGTGTGCCTGGGCGGGAGGGGGGGGGTCTTCAGCACGCCTCTTGATATAGCTTTGCGGGAGTGAGCCTTCCCCAGTCAGCTTACGGCTGTGCGGAGGTGGGCGTCCCCCAGTCTGCCGTTTGATATGGCCTTGTGGGGACGAGCTTCCCCCTGCATGCCTCTTGATATTGTTGAGAGGTGGTGAATCGTCCCCCGCCGCCTCTTTCACCGAGCGCGTTCCGCTACTCGCAAAGTGCCGATTCGCAAACGTCCGAAAAACACGTGTCTGCTTCGATGTAGTTTCTCGTAGATAGCGCCCAGCGGATCCAGGCCACTTGCGCGTAGCCACTTCGCGAGTCGTAGAACGCGCTCGCCTACTCTTGCTGCGGTTGTTTGGGGCCGAGTTTTCCCCAACCAGCTTCTTGAAATGGGCGTTTACAGTGAGCGGCTTGAACAAGGAACACTTACTTTTCAAAAGGGGCTCGGTCGTTCCTTAGATATCACATGCGTTATGTACAGTCCCTTATGTGTTATTTGTTATGTGTCGTTCCTTATACGTTATTCCTTGGGATAAAAAGGGGCTTCGTTCCTTATGTATCGTTCCTTAGGTCAACGCCTCGACTGTAGGGGGTGAACTTTCCCATGCATGCCTCTTGATGCGGCTCCGTCGGGATGAACCTGCCCCACAGTCTGCCCCTCGATATGCGTGTGCGGGGCGAGTTGCCCCCAGTCTGCCTCTTGCTGTGGCCGTGTGGAGGGGCCGTCCCCAGTGTGCCTCCTGATATGGTTGTTCGCGGGTGAGCATTCCCGAGTCTGTTTTGGGGGGGAGAGTTGTTCAGGGCAAGTTGTCCCCAGTAACATCCTGCACGGTGAAGGCATAGGAGGCGCCCTCACCCGTATCCATGGTGTGTTTGGCCGCGGCGAGTTCAATTCCAGAGCCATCGTGTTGTTGGTGCGTGTGTATGTGTGTGTGTGTTTGTGTTGCGAGGTTCGCGTTCATCATTATGGTGCTCCAGTTAGTGTATGCCCACGGCCGACCATGCTCTACATTGTGTTCGGAGATGCCAGTTGCACTAAGTAGGGACCTCTAGGATATAGCCGTGCGGCAAGGCAGGCGGCCCCGAATACTTTCCACACATGCCCAACCACGAGATACCTCCATCCTCAGTCCTCTCTAATCACTCCCTCCTCCCTCCTCTTCGTCCCTCCTGCTCCTCACTCCTTCTTCCCCTCCTCTTCATCCATCCTTCCCCCATCCAACTTTCGTGGCCGACGGTGCCCAGAGTGAACCAGCCACTGGCAAGGACTGGCATGCGAGGGGTCCGTCGGGTGTACGTTGTGAAACCTGTATCGGCGTGTGTGTGTGTGTGTGTGCATGCTTGGGCAGTGGGCTTCGGTGCCTGCCCAGGGGCGTGCACGAGCGGACGAGTATGGCAAGGCCCCTCGGGCGTGGCCAAAGACTCCCATCCCCTCTTCGAGGTCCCGCCACGACGTCGTTGCTCGCGGGATGGCGTCGGCGACGCCTGGCGGCGTCAAGTGGGAGGTGGCCAGCCCCGCTGACGGAAAGGCGAAGTCAGACCTCAAGGATCACAGGCAGGGAGGAAGGGAGGGAGGGAGGGAGGAAGGAAGGGAGGAAGGGAGGAAGGGAGGGATGGAGGAAGAGACGAAGAAGGAAGAGGAGAAGGAGGATGAAGAGGAGTCTCACCACCTCCTCCCTCCTCATCCGTCCTCCTGCTCCTCCTCATCCCCCTCCTTTCTCCTGCCACTCCTCCTCCTCCTCCTCCTCCACCGCCTCCTCCTCCTCCTCCACCTCCTCCTCTTCATCCTCATTTCCCATGCTCCTCCTCGCCATTCTGCCCAGGTGGTGTGAGCCTGGGCTGCGAACTCTAAAATGGCGCTGCTGCCGCGGATCGGGTCTGGCTCGCGGGCCGCGCGCGAACAGCTCCGAGCCGATGGCGGCTCGTTGCCAGCGGTAGCCCCGCCGAAGCTTTCGCCAGCTGGCGTGCGGCAATGCGGCGTCGGCGGGTGCGCCAAGAACTTGGCACCTTGGGGCTGGTGCAAGCGCCGCGCACCGTGGAGCGGACTCTCCACCGCGACGTTGGAGACGGGCTCGCGGGGGTCCCATTTGGCTTGCGCTTGGAGGTCAGCCTGCTCGCGCAGTCGAGGGACGTTGTGGTTACGGCGGTCGCACGTGGTTGCCACCCCTGCAGCCAAGCCACGCGCCGTACACGGCGGTCGTTGCAAGTAGGTGTATTGGACCCCCAGGTCCCAATATACTTTAGGCGCCCTCCTATTTCAATCCACGACCGTCGTCCCCCTTCCCTCCTCTTTCGGGGGGCGGGCGGAAGCCCAGTCTGCTTCCAACGCCTTCTACTGCGCGTTTCAACTAGCTTCTTCCGACCGGCGGGTACACATTGGAAGGGGCCTCTCAATATTTCGTCAGGCCTGCGCAGTGTCCATGAGAGCAAGGACGCAGCCGAGCACAGGAGGGCGTGCAGGCAGCTACGGAGCCCGGACACGCAGAAGCAAGGTGCGGGCGACGCTGCAAAGCCCTGGGAGAGCAGAGCATTGACAGCGCGAGCACACTGGTGCCTGAGTGTTTCTTAAGTGCTTCCTCAGTTCGATCGGCTGCGCCCCTTCCCAAATTGCACTCCCGCTACATCGCCGGCACTGTTCCCGGATTCCCGGTCCTTCCAAAATGGCGCCCCCGTTACAGCATCGGCCTCGCGTTCGCGGTCCTTCTCAATTGTCGTCCCAGATGTCGCGTTGACCTCAATCCGCGTTTTTGGGGCCAGCACAGTGGTCCCACTGTGCCGTTCCGCTGCAGCATTGGCCTCGTCTCCACCGCTGTCGCCACCGCTGCCGTCTTCGTCGTCGCCCTCGTCATCCCCTTCGTCCTCTTCGTCGCTATTTTCCGTTTCCTCCTCCTCCCCCTCCTGCCCCTTGCCTCATCATCATATTCGTCATTTTTCGCATCATTTGTTTCCCTCCTGCTCCTCTTTCCTCGTTGCTCCCCCTCCATGTTGTCCTCCTCGTCCTCCTCCTCCTCATCCTCCTTCTCCTCCTCCTCCTCCTCCTCCTCCTCCTCCTCCTCCTTCTCCTCCTCCTCCTCCTCCTCCCCCTCCCCGCCTCCCATCGTCTTCACTCCCTCATTTACAATTACTCAATACTCTCCCTTTTCCCCTGATGACGGTTTAAAGTATTAGCCCCCCCCCGCGTACTGTTTTTTTACACACTGGATTCCCCGGAGTTGGGTTTTCGCCTGCATTTTTTCCAAAATGCTGCTCTCGCTGAGGCGCTGGCCTCATTTTCGGGCCCCGCTCGTTCCGAATCGTGCTCCCGCTGCAGCGCTGGCCTCATTTCCGTGCTTCCGCTCGTTCCGAATCGTGCTCCCGCTGCAGCGCTGGCCTCATTTCCGCGCTTCCGCTCGTTCCGACTCGTGCTCCCGCTGCAGCGCTGGCGTCATTTCCCGTGCCATGCCACGGCATGCAATGCAATGCTAAGTCGATACTACGTTTTGCGGTGCTCTTCTACGCCATGCCATGCCGTGCTCTACAATGCATCGCGTACCCTTTCGGGATCATTGCCCTGCTCGACATCCGACTGTGCGAGTAGAGAGGGGATCTACGCCATGGTAAGGGATGGGAGGGAGGGGTAGGATGAAGGATGTCAGATATGACGCGAGCGCACCTAGCTTGATCTTACCCCTTCCCCTTCATCCTCCTCCTCACCGCCCCTGCCAATGCCAGCCCCTTCCCTCCCCCATACCTCCCCCTTTATAGCTCTGCGTCGAAGGCGCTCCGGGGCCTCGGCAGCGGTCTGCGTGTCGAGGCTTCCTTCCTGGTCCCCTTCTGGCTTCTGTGCTCTTCGCGCGGGGGACGACAGGTCAAGCACCGCAGATGCCATCTGGGCACGAACGTCAGATTCGAGGAGGAGGAGGAGGAGGAGGGAGGAGGAGGAGGGAGGAGGGAGGAGGGAGGAGGGAGGAGGGAGGAGGGAGGATGAAGACAAATGATTAGCGCAACGGGAAGGGGTGGGAGGGAGGGACAGGATGTCAGATGTGGCGCGAGCGCACCTAGCTTGCCTCCCCATCTCCCGCCGCCGTTCGTCTTGGCATCGCTCGGACGTGTGCATTTTTTCCCCGGGCGAGAACCATCGAGGATCATCCTGGACCATCGAGCGAAAGAAACACGCACGAAACCGACAAATGCACAGGAAATGGACGTCCGAGCGACGGCAAGTCGTTCTTCCCCAGATAGGACGGAGTCTACCAATCCTCGTGTCAGCTCGGGCGTCCCGCTTTTGTGCTCCCGCGCGTAGGAGGTCACGAGCCCGGCGAGCATGAACTCTGGCAAGCTTCAGGACGCCTTGTGGGGGATCACTTGAACAAGCAGAGGAGGAGGGGACCCGCAGTTTTTCGAAATTGTTTGGCCTCCACAGGCCCCTCTCAGGCCTCGAGACCGTCAGAAGACGGCCCAGGGTGAACAGCTGGTCCCCGGGGAAGCTCCAGGATCCAGCGCTCGTCCCAGTCATCGGGGGCGGCCACGAGGGGGGTGATGACTGGGAGGGGGTGGATATCATGGCGGGGGCTTGATATCTCCCCAGATTTAATGGCGCCTCTTCTTATTTCAACACGTCCCTGGCCCCCCCTTGAGCCGCGCACATGCCGCCGACCATGATTTCCCCCCCCCCCTCTCTTGGGCGCCCCCCAATTGGCCGGCCCTGACCAAGTCAGCCAGGACCCAGTCAGGACCCTTCCGTGAGGAAGACGGGTTGCATGCTGCCCGCCCTCCCCGCTCGTATCTGCCTTCGCTGCACCCATGCTGGAGGCGGGTGTCCTCAGCCAGGGCCCTGGGAGCGGGAAGAGGTGGCCACTTGTTAGGCCCAAGGCCTGTCGATTTAGGGGGGGGGGGGGGGGGCGCCTGCGCGCGCGGCGACGCGTCAAGGACCCCGCAACGCAACGCTCTCCCCTCGCCCTGCCGCGCGCTGCGTGTTCCCCAGGACGTCTACGAGGCGCGCGTGGACGAGCTCGAGAGGCCGCTGATGCTGGAGGCCCGCGGTGGACCTCACGCATCCGGGGCTTCGGACCCAGCAGACCCGGAAGGCCGAGCCCCGAAGCGTGGGCGGCGAGGGCAGTCTTCCAACAGGGGCCGCCTCCCGAGGTCTCGCGCGTTTTTCTGCAGGCCCATGCGCGAGAAGGGATACGAAGGAGCACTCACGAGCCCGAGAAATGGGGGGGCCTGTCAAACCGAAGGAGGGATCGGCCACAAGCAGCCCCCGGAATGGCCATATAGGGCTCTCTAGGAGCCATGTTGGGGTGATCTTGGGGTCCTCGTTGGAGCCTTTGGGGCCCTTTTCCCAGCCTGTGGGCCATGGTGGAATGGGGGTGCTGCATTTGCCAGAACAGTAGCATCCTTGGAAATGTATCGGGGGTTCTTTCATTGCTGACGCTTCGCGTATCCCCACCAGCCCATCTGGAAGCGCGTCCCAGGCGAATTGTCCTGACCGGGGAGGCGGCGGAGCAGGCAGCGGAATAGAGACGCGAGGCAGTCGTCAAGACGAACGAAGCTCGAGATCAGCCTGAGCAGGCCCAGGACTCAACCAGGAAGGCCTTCGCGGACCTGTCGCTTTGTGAGGACGAGTTTGGGGCTCCCCTGTGGGCGGTAGTGGGACAAGAGCCCTTTGGGGCTTCCTCGGCGCCCTCCGTAAGGCTGCACTGGGGCCATCTTGGAGGCCATCGGCCTGAGAAAAACGGCGGGTTCCAATGTGAACCTGTTCCCGCGGGCGCTGGCGGCGCTGCGGACTTCGAGGGTTTATCCGTGGAGGACGCGCAAGAAGTCTGGCAGCCCCTGGCGGCCTGCTCGAGGCAGTTCGCGGCGCGGTTCCTGCAGCCGCGCCAGCTTCAGGCGGCCTGGCCAGCTCTGCGGGCAGAGGCTTCGTCCAGCAGGGCTGTCGCGGTTAAGCCAGCGTTAGCTTCGCCCCTGCAGCCCCGGTTTCAGAGCCACTCACCTGGCCCAGACGGGCGCGGGCAAGCAGCGCTCACTCTCATTGCCCAGGCGCGACGCGAAGGACAAGCTCTCCCCCCGAAACTGCGCGATGAGGCAGTCAAAGATTTTGCCCGGCTGCCAGATAGCCCGCTCGGCTATGTCGGCCTGCTTCCCCGCGCTGCCGCCAGACGGGCGCGCTTTCAGGCGGCGGCGCAGACGCATTACGAGGAGCGCGCAACTTGGTTTGAGATCTGCAAGTGGAGGAGGAGTGCTTCGTCATATGCTGCTGCAGTTCAGCTTTGGGGCGAGGCTGCTGCACTGGCGGGCGCGCCGCCATGGCGAATTCAGCTGTGCGCCGCGCCCGCCCAAGTCACCGACTCGCGCTGAAGTGCCCAGTGGGAAGTGCCAAGCGGTTAGCGCCACCGCGGCCGCGTCGGTCGCGCCGCCCTCGCCGGCACTGCGCGCGCGAAGATGCGCGGGCTAGCGCTACCGCGGAGATCCAGCAGCCAACGCCAAGCACTTATCGCAGTCGCCGTCGCATGGGTTTTGCAAACCAAGTTGTGGGTGGGTGGACGGGATGCTTGCACGCAGTGATGTTGACCACTCACAGCTAGTTCTGGTGAGTTTCAGCACGCAGATGGCACGATTTTGTTCCACGCTGGCGGCGCGCGTTTTGTTCGCTGACAACAAAGAGTACGTTGCAGATTCTGCCGCGACATAGATTGCTGCCACTACGTCGACTGCGCCACAAAGACGGCGCACCACATAGAGTCTCCTTCCTAAAAAGGAGACACGATCTACCACCACCCCCCCGGACTCATCGACTCCCAGGGAACCGATGCAAAACGCATCGGGTTCTGACTCAATGTCCATCCTACTGGTGAGTTCATACTATCTCAGCCAGGCCGGTATCGGTACCCCCCGCCTTCCTCTGGAAAAAAGATTACGCGCGCACACTCGTTTATCAAAAACCACCAGTGTTCAAGAATCCCAAAGAATCCCTGGCAAAAAACGGGACGATGTGTACACGCGCGTGTCGTCGCGCGCGCATGCCGAAATCCTTCAGAAACCTTCGGTTCCGGAAGGAATTCGCAATCGAGCGTCCAAAAACATACAACAAACATGGTTTCGCAACGCGGATGTTCAACAAAAGCGTGCGCGTGCGCTCTGGCGAACTCTTAAGAAACCATGAGCTTTTCAACGTTCTCATAAAATGCTACCCACTGGCTTTGCGCGCGCGCGTGTCGAAATCGTTCGAACGCCGTTGCGCGCGTGCTGGGGTGGCACGCTCCGTGTCAAATAATACTATGCAAGCCACTCGCGCGCGTCTGCCGCGCGGGCATTTCGAATTCCTTCCAAAACCTTCATCACCGACGCGAAGACGCCGTCGTCGTCGCCGGCGTGATCAACACTGGCGCCGTCACTGGCTGCCCCGTCGTCGCTGTCAGCATCGTCGCCAGCATCGTTACTATCATCATCTTGTCTACCGTTGTCGACGTTGCCATGATACCGCGCCCGCCCAAGTCGCCGACTCGCACTGAAGTGCCCGCTTGGATGTGCCGAGCTGTCAGCGCCGCGCGCGCGAGCATGCGCGGGCTAGCGCGGCCGCAGAGATGCACCAGCCAACGCCCAGCACTCAGCGCAACCGCTCCCGCATGGGTTTTGCAAACCAAGTTGCGGGCGGGTGGGCGGGATGATTGAGCGAGCAGTGGAGTTGACAACTTCAAGTTCGGCAGGTGAATTCTCCTTTATAGATAAAAAATAGGCTCTACCACCCTCCCCCCCCAGACTTCTCGATCCCCCGGGAACCGATGCAAAAGGCATATGATCTTGACCCATCCTACCTGTGAGTTCATACTATCCCAGCCAGACCGGTACCGGCCCCCCCTCAGTTCCCTTTATTTTCCTTTTTTTCAAAACAGAATAGACTCTACCCCCCCCCGCGTTCGCCGCCCCCCTTTTCGGATATGTAAATCATATACGATTATGACAACATGTCCATCCTGAATATGAATTTACAATGTCCCGGGGGAACTGGTATCGGCACGCGGGGACATATTTGTTCTGACATAACACTTTTCCACGAATCCATTGCAAAAAACAGGACGAAGTGCACACGCGCGCGTCGTCGCGCGCGCATGCCGAAATCCTTCAAAAACCTTCGGTGCCGGAAGGATTTCGCAATCGAGTTCCCCCCCCCAAAAAAAAACATACAAAAGCACAGGGTTTCGCAACACTGATTGGCTAAAAAGCTTACGCGCGAGCTCTTGCTAAATCTTAAGAAAACCATAGGTTTTTCAAGATGCTCACAAAATGCTACCAAACGGGCTTCGCGCGCGCGCATGTCGAAATCTATCGAACGCCCTTGCGCGCGTGCCGTCGCGAGAATCCTCTGCAAAAAAACGGGACGAAGTGCAGACGCGCGCGTCGTCGCGCGCGTATGCCGAAATCCTTCAAAACCCATCGGTTTCGGAAGGATTTCAAAATCGCTTGTCCAAAAAACCTACAAAAACAAAGTTTTCGCAACACGGATTTTCAACAAAAGCGTGCGCGCGCGCTCTTGCGTCGTCGTCGTCGTCGTCGCCGTCATCCCTCCTCCCGCGTCGTCGTCGTCGTCGCCTACGTCGTCCTCTGTGTTTCCTCGTGTTCGTCGACGTCGTCCTCTTTGGCGTCGTGGTCGTTTCCGTCGTCGTTGTCGCCGTGGTCGTCCTTCCTCCTCCTCCCTCGTCGTCGTCGTCGTCCGTCGTCGGCGTCTCGTCGTCGTCCCTCCTATTTCGTCGCCGTCGTCGTCGTCGTCGTCGTCGCCGTTGTCGTCGTCGTCGTCTTCCCTCCTCCCTCGTGGTTGTCGTCGTCGGCGTCGCCGTCCTTCCTGCTTCTTCGTCGCTCGCGTCGTCGCCGTCCTCCCTCCTTCCTCGTCGTTGTCGTCGTTGTCGTCGTTGTCGCCGTCGTCGTTCTCCCTCCTCCCTCGTCGTCGTCTTCGTTGGCGACGTCGTCGTCGTCGTCTTCGTCGTCGTCGTCGGCGTCGGCGTCGTCTTCGTCGTCGTCGACGGCGGCGTCGTCGTCGTCGCCGCCGTCGTCGTCGTCGTCGTCGTCGGTGTCGTCGTAGTCGTCGTCGTTGTCATCGTCGTCGTCGGCGTCGGCGTCGTCGTCATCAGTGTCGTCGTCGTCTTCGTTGCCGGCGTTGTCGAAGTCGTTGGAGACGTCGTCAGTGTCGTCGTAGTCGTTGTCGGCGGCGTCGTCGTCGTCGAAATCGCTCTCGTTGTCGGCGTCGCTGTCCTTGCCAAGTGCCATGTGGTACCCACCGTCACGGTCTTAAGAGATTTTGCAAGCCAAGTTGCGGGTGGGTGGGTGGGACGGTTGCAAGAGCGCGGGATGTGTCAACTCGTTCGTAATCAATCACAAATCATAAGTTTGCAAGAACCCCTTGCAAAGCATGGGACGAAGTGTACACGCGCGTACCGTCGCGCGCGCATGCCGAAATCCTTCAAAACCTTCGGTGTCGGAAGGCTGTCAAAATCGAGTGCTCAAAAATATTAAAACCACGGTTTCGCAACGCGGATGTTCAACAAAAGCGTGTGCGCTCTTGTGAATTCTTAAGAAAACCATGAGTTCTTCAACATTTTCATAAATGCTACCCAATGGGCTTCGCGCGCGCATGTCGAAATCGTTCGAACGCCGTTGCGCGCGCGCGCTGGGGTGGCACGCCCCGTGTCAAATGATGCCATGTGAGCCACTCTCGCGCGTTTACCGCGCGGGCATTTCGAATTCCTTCCACAACCTTCATCGCCGATGCGAAGACGTTTCGTCTTCGGCGTAATCAGCACTGGCGCCGTCACTGGCTGCCCCGTCGTCGCTGCCAGCATCGTCACCAGCACCGTTACGATCATCATCCTGTCTACCGTTGTCGGCGTTGCCATGATACCGCGCCCGCCCAAGTCGCCGACTCGCACTGAAGTGCCCGCTGGGATGTGCCGAGCGGTCAGCGCCACCGCGTCCGCGTCGGTCGCGCCAAACTAGCTGGCCGCTGCGCGCGCGAGCATGCGCGGGCTGGCGCGGCCGCAGAGATGCACGCTGCGAAAAAAATATGCGCGCATTCTCGTTTATACAAAAGCATCAATGTGCAAGAGTAGTATGTAAAACATGGGACGACATGAAGTGCACGCGCGCGCGTCGTCGCGCGTGCATGCCGAAATCCTTCAACATGTCGATCAAATGCGCGCGCATGTAGAAATTATTCGAACGCCCTTGCGCGCGTGCTGGGGGGGGAGCACGATCCATGCCAAATAATGCCATGCGGGCCACTCGCGCACGTCGGCCGCGCGCGCATGTCCGAATCCTTTCAAAACCTTCGTCGCCGTTGGACACCATCATCGTCATCGGCGTGATCAGCATCGGCGCCGCCATTTGCCTTGCCATCGTCGTCTTCATCGTCGTCATTAGCATCGCTGCAATCATAATCGTGTCTGCCGTTGTCGACGTTGCCATGATACCGCGCCCGCCCAAGTCGCCGACTCGCACTGAAGTGCCCGCGCGTCAGCGCGGCCAACGACACGCGCTGGAAGGTACCCAGCGGTCAGCGCCACCGTGGCCACGTCGGTCGCGCTAAACTAGCTGGCTGTTGTGCGCGCGAGCATGCGCGGGCTAGCGCGACCGCAGAAATCCACCAGCCAACACCAAGCACTTATCGCAATCGCCGTCGCATGGGTTTTGCAAACCAAGTTCTGGGTAGATGGGTGGGATGCTTGCGCGAGCAGTGGAGCTGACAGCCCCCAGCTTTTCACAATTAGTTGCACCACATACGTACACTGCACTACGCGTTCCCGCGCGCATGGGGGTGTTTCGCGGCTGCTTGGGGGCCCGCCGGAGCTTGGTCCCAGCGCGACCACGGTCGATTCAGCAGGCCATTGTCGTGGCTCCGGCGGTGCCGACGGCGCCTGAGCCTTGGCAGCCCAGCTCTCCAGCAGCGCTGGAGAGGCCAAAAGCCAACGAGATAACAAATTTGCCCCGCACTGCTGTTCGAAGGCGCTCCCCGCACGACGGGGCACCTCGGCTCGGGCCGAGCTGTGGAGCGGGGCCGCCCCCCGCGGCGCGGTCGCGCTTGCCCTGCTGCCCCCGCTCTGCCGCAGGCGTCTGGCTCGGGCGGGCGGTGGCAGCCGTGGCGCTACGGCGGGGGCGGGGGGTGCTCTGACCTCCGCCTGTCGAACGGGGCTGCCTCCCACGTTGGCGAGCCATGCCGACTTTGGGGCAGCTGGCGGGATCTTGGCTGTGCGACCCCGTTTTCCTCATTCCTCTCCGCGCCATCCGGCGACGATGGAGCAAGTTACTGTTTCAGCGAGCGAAGAACGGTATAACATTAACTTTTTCGCTGTCGGGGGCGCCTGTCCCTGGGCGGCTGGAAAGCTTATGCCCCTGCGGTGCCACCGTAAGGGCATAAACTTCCCAGCCGCCCAGGGGCAGGCGCCCCCGACAAGCGAAACAGTTTATGTTGTACCGCTCTTCGCCCGTGAAAAGTTTCGACTCGTCGTGCTTCATTTGCAGGGCGCCGCACTTTTCGGGGCTCCCGGGGCGCTCAGTCGCCGATTGGGGCAGCTGGCGGGATCTTGGCTGTGCGACCCCGTTTTCCTCATTCCTGGAGGAGGAGGAGGAGGAGGAAGAGGAGGAGGAGGAGGAGGAGGAGGTGGAGGAGGAGGGGAAGAGGAGGAGGAGGAGGAGGAGGAGCTCCGCGCCATCCGGCGACGATGGAGCAAGTTTCGACTCGTCGCGCTTCACTTGCGGGGCGCCGCACTTTTCGGGGCCCCCGGGGCTCCTCGCGCCCGCCGGCCTCGGGGCGCTCAGCCGCCGACCCCCGCGAGGTCAGCTACGCGGACGGGTGCGGGGGCGCTGTGAAGGAGGTCCTGTTCGTCGACCCCGTCGATGCCGAGGCCTCCCCATTCCTCCTCCTCCTCCGCCTCCGTCCTCCTCCTCCCCGCCTCCGCCTCCTCCTCCTCCTCTCCTCCTCCTCCTCCTCCTCCTCCTCCTCCTCCTCCTCCTCCCTCCTCCTTCCCCTCGTCCCTCCTCCCCCTCCTCCTCCTCCTCCTCCTCCTCCTCCCGTCCCCTCCCTGTCCTGCAATGTCCCTCATACCCCCTCCCTCCACATCTGCCCATCCTCCTCGCCCTCGTCCCCCATCATCCTCTGTCCCCTCGTCTCCTTCTACTGCACCTTTCCGGCCTCCCTCTCGTCCCCCCACACAAGCTCGTTTCTCCCACCCTCATCGTCCTCCCCCTGCTCCTGCTCCTCGTCGTCCTTCTCGCTCCTCCCCCCCTTCCTCATCGTCCACCCCACACCCCTTCCGCATCCTTCTCCATCTCCACCCCCCATCCCCTTGCTCCTCCCCGCTCTTCTTCCCCCTCCTCCCGCCTCCCTCCGAGGCGCGCCCGCGCGTGTGCGTGTCCGTGAGCGGCGTGAAGGCAATGCACAACGCCATCTCCGTGCTGAGCCGCAAGGTGGACGGCGCCTTTTGGCGCCCTCCGCTTCTTCCTCCTCAACTGTTCCCTTCCTCCCTCCCTCCCCCTGCTCCTCCTCCTCCTCCTCCTCCTCCTCCTCCCCCTCCTCCTCCTCCTCCTCCTCCTCCTACACCTCATCATCAGCAGCAGCATCATCAGCATCATCATCAGCATCAGCATCAGCATCATCATCAGCAGCATCAGCATCATCATCAGCAGCAGCATCATCATCATCCCTCGCCGCCTCCGCTCTGGGCCGCAAGGTGGACAGCCTCGTGCACTCGCTCCAGGCGTGCAGATCCGCGTACTACAAGGAGGGGAGGGCAGGTGGGAGGGAGGGGGAGGAGGAGGGAAAGTGGAGGGCAGCGAAGGAAGGAGGAGGAGGAGGAGGAGGAGGAGGAGGAGGAGGAGGAGGAGGAGGAGGAGGAGGAGGGGGGAAGGGGAAGGAGAGGAGGAGGAGGAGGGGAAGGAGGGGAGGAGGAGGCGAGAGGAGGAGGAGGCGGAGGAGGAGGAGAGGAAGAAGAAGAAAGAAGAAGAAGAAGAAGAAGGAGAGAGGAGGAGGAGGAAGGAGGAGGAGGACGAGTAGGTGGAGGAGGGGGAGGAGGAGGAGGAGGAGGCGGAGGAGGAGGAGGAGGAGGAGGAGGAGGAGGAGGAGGGAGGGTAGGGGGAGGAGGAAGGTGGAGTGAGGGATTCGTTAGGCGGGCGGCGGGGACCTGGTCAGTCCTGGGCGCCTGCACCACATCACCAGTGAGCCTCTGCAAAGCAGCCGCTGCTGAACACAAGAAAATCCAGAGCGGGGGCTGCTCTTCACTGCTCAGGAAAGCTCATGCCACACGTTTGCAGGAGGCCTCGGCGGAGGCGCGACAGTACACTGGCCCCAGCCGTGGTGGGCTTTCCACCAGGCGGGCAAGCGTCGGCAAGGAGCTGGGAGTTCTGAACCACGAGTCTTCCACAAACTCGACGGTACAAAACGCCGCGAAGCACGTCCAGATCGTGCGAAGAGTGCGTTTCGCGCCGCCTCGCGGATCGGATCCCTCGCGCCCCCAGGCACCGGCCAGAAAAAAATCATAGACGTTACCACGAGCCGTTTCGAGATGGCGGCGACGCAGCATGCACTTGAATATGCTGCCAATCGTTTTGACAGCGTGGCCAACTACTTCAAGCCTTTGCCTCCTGGCGGCATGGGAGGGCAAGGCGTTGGGGCGGGCAGGCGGCCTCCCCACTCGATCCTGACCCAAACGCTTCCAGGTTAGAGCGGCCTCCCGATAAACTTCGAGCAGCCGGCGGAGGACTTTCTCGATCATACCATGTACCTCTTTGTGCACATCAACGTGCTCCTGAGGAAATCTCAGCTATGGCGGCGGCCTGCCTAGCGAAAGCATGCGCACACGAATTTAAGAAAAGCGCAGGCTCCGCGATGCCCCAGAGATCACGAGTCGAAGCCGTCGAGTGGGCCCTGGTCTGGAGCAGCCCCAGATGCCCCTCGCGAGAGCCCAGGAGGTCGCGGATCCGGAGCCAGAGATCCAACATGGGTGAGCTCTGAGCAACGAAGGACCCACCCCTCCCGAGGCCCCGAACTGAGGGCAGGCAGCCAGAATGAGCCAACAGCACCACCGCACTTGTGGGCCAATGGCAGGACTGGCCCGAGCAGCTCGGCCCTGGGGCCAAGCTGGGACTCCGCCGGCAAGCCTCCCAATAGGATGGCATCACACACACACACACACAAGCTCTGCATCAATCGAGGCCTCATCCAGACCCACGAGTCCACCTCTCTTGAAATGGATGGAGAGGGAATCGAAGGTGAGAGCAGAGAAGGAGAGTGTAGACAAAGAGCAGAAGCTGTTCCTGATTTGCACCCTGCACGAACCACCGCCCATCCA